TTCTAAGCAGTCTTCAAAGATGACCCCATCTTTAATACATTACAGTTGTATAATTAGAACTCAGTGGACAATGGTTACTGAGATCCACTTGGATGTCCAGGTGGGATTTTCACAAATGACTCCTCTGTTTAGCTGATAGAAGGCACTCTACGCATAGAGGCCGAATATCTATCAAACTAGATCAAGGTAGTCCATGAATCTATATATTGTCTTTGCAACAGTGCATGCAACACAGGCATCTAACCCTAACTCTTTTCATCGTTCCCATCACCGTCGCCTCCCACTTATGACTGTATGGCTGTAACCTTGTTGCTGGTATCCTTACAATTTATATTGCTATTGTTTCCTGATTGCTTATTTGTTCCCTATGACTATCATTAAGTGTTGTACCTTATGATTCTTGATAAACGTATCTTTTATTTTATGTACACTGAGAGCATATGCACCAAGACAAATTCCTTGTGTGTTGACTACTATAGTACAGGTGTTAAGGTATCATATTACCTATAACTTTTAAAGATCATTCATTCTGATATATTTCTAATCTTTTACAAAAAAAAAAGAAAAGAAAAGAAACTCAGTAACTAACAGGCGAAAATAAACAGAAATTATTGCATGAATCACTTCACAGATTGACAAGGGTATTGATCAAATGTCATCAGCTTGAAGAATAATCATGTCTGGATTGTTTCATTTATGGTAGACTATCAATTTATCAATTCTGGGGAATTCATGGATTTTTAAGCAGCTTCTAGAATTGGATATTTCATTCTAGAGAAAAAATCTGGGTAAAATTGAGTTCCATTTCATCCTGATCAACTGGACAGGGGGAAGAATATCTTCTCTCCCAATCATGCTATGATTGATACTTATGCAACCTGTGCATGTAGAAAACAGACAGACAGATGGAATTAACCCCCACCTCCAAACTCTGAACTGATTATGCTTAATCTTAGAGGAAATGATATTGAGCGAGCATCAACCTGAAGTGAGAGGCAGACAATGTCCTTCAGACAAACATGAGACAGCATACTAAAAGAAGGGTGGCTTGTTTTAGACAAGTTTCATCTCACAAAATTAGTCTGAAAGTCAAGGTGAAGTACTGAGGAAGGCAGAAGAATCAACTACAATGAGATTAAAAATCCATCTATGTTTTATTCTTTTTTTCTTTTACATATGGTGAATTTCATTATAAATATAAACTTTATTGAAATTTCATCTTTTTTCCCCCCAATTCAAATTCTAAACTGGATTCGAACTCAACTTTTTTTCCATGTTTCTTAAAGGAAAGGTGTGTGCAGCTCTTCCTACAATCTGTAACCTTTCCTGTGTGTTGAATACTACAACTTAGTCATACAAGCTGCAAATTGGGGAATCTGTACACCCAACCTTTATGAAAATCATCAGATAGGTAAATTAATATCAAGCACTTGACAGTTTCTTACTGCCAAGTGAGAATAGTGAGAACAATTCAACAGTTGAACTGCTTGCCTCCAGAGATTGTGGGTGCTCCATCACTGAAGATTATAAAGAAGAGATTGGACAACCATTTGTCTGAAATGGTATAGCGTCTCCTGCTTGAGTAGGGGATTGGGCTAGAAGACTTCCAAGGTATCTTCCAACTCTGTTATTTTGTTATACTATCAAGAAAGGTAATTTCTCACAGAATCTTACAAGCGAGCTTGTAAGCTTGTACAAGTGAACTGGAAAAAGAGGACTAATACAGATACATTTACTATAGCATTCATTCAATATTAAGATGGTTAGATCAGGGATTCCTTAATCCTCTAGGTAACTGCTATTTGATGTAAGGGGAGATGTTCAACTTTAACTTTAGATGAACATCACTCACAACCATTAAATCAATATTAAAAGTGAAAACTTGATTACGTGGTACATAGATTCTCTAGGTATCTCGATACTGCTTCAAAATTTTACATGTTACCATGGATTATGCATGACTTTGTCCTCTGCACACATGGGTTCTATATGTCTGCTAGGGCCCAACAAAGGAAAGTAAGAGAGGAAAATTATATAATCTTTGGTGGACATATAAGAAACGTAAGAAATATTGGGACAAGATTTGTACATTAACTCAGAGAATTCTTAAATAAATATAGAATTGAAAGTAGAGTTTTTGTTCTTGGTTTGCTTGACAGAGTGAAAAAAACAAGGGACTTTGTTTTTATACTATATATGATAACAGCAGCAAGACTTTTTTATATGCACAGTGATGGGAGAACTCACAAATTCCCACAATGGAAGAATGGATAGAAAAGTTGATGGAGTTATCATAGATGGCAAAACTGACTACTTTGATAAAAGTAGTAGTCAGTTACTTGGAAACCACTTTTGGACTTTTTGCTTGAAATGAAAGAAATGAAATTTTAACTCTGAAATTTGACAATTAGAATTGTTTGTGATTATAGGAGTACTATGTGTTATGGTTAATTTTAGAGCAAACAGTCATTATATTCTACATTTCTACCAAAAAAGTTGGAAGTTATTATTTCTATGTTTTTCTCCCACCACTTTTTTTTTTGCACTTCATTTTTTCCTTGACCCCTCCTTTTTTATTTAACCCTTTTTTTCTATTTCTTTGTACTTTATCTTTTCTATTTCTTTGTACTTTATCTTTTTTTGAAACTTAATAAAGTCTTGGAGAAAAAAAATAAGAATGTTAGGGTTCCAGAAAAACCCCAACTCCAAGTAAAGACGCGGAAGCAAGCATTTTTCAAAATTCTCTTTACTAGAATAGACAAACTGGCACATCTGGGAATACCCGAATCTGAAAAGCCCGGGTTTTCCCTCAGTAAGTCAAAACCCCCCAAACCATTCCCTTTCTCCCCAGTCGATCACATGCTCCAATCAATGTCCATTCTATCTCGACCCAGCCACCTGATCACTCCTTCTCCAGATGCTGGATCACCCTGACCTTGACTGACAGGAAGAATGCTATTATGTCTACTAACAACTTCTCTCCTTAATCCCCCCTCCTACTTTCCCACACATGAGAAGGTGGCAGCATTGAAGCTTCCGGCCTAATATGGCTTCCAAAGCTGACAGCATTCTCCTTTGAAATTGTTCCCATTACATTGCCTTAGCAAGGAAGTTCAGTTCCAAGGTCTATACAAAATATTACTTTCCAGTCATCTATTTAATCATGTAGCCCTTTTATTTCATTAAAAATTACAGTATGCCCATAAAGTCTGAAGGATTGTGGAGTTGTACTAAGATTTCCAGAACTGCGAGCCTCAGGTTGGGCACTTGAGATTTAAGCCCTGGTGGCGCAGCAGACTAAAGCACTGTTATTAACATCAGCTGCCTGCAATTACTGCAAGTTCAAATCTCTCCAAGGCTCAAGGTTGACTCAGCCTTCCATCCTTTCAAAGGTAGGTAAAATGAGAACCCAGATTGTGGGGGCAATAAGCTGACTTTGTATAAAATATATACAAAAGTATGAAGGCTATTGCTTAACGCATTGTAAGCCGCCCTGAGTCTCCGGAGAAGGGCGGCATATAAATCAAATTTAAAAAAAAAAAAATCTGAAGATTGTCATGAGAAAACGAATGAAAGGAAACCTTTCAGTATCCACCTCATGCTAAACAAAGCATTTCTTTGCAGAAACTTAATCAGTGGAATGACTTGCCTCCAGAAGGTGTGGATGCTCTAACACTGGAAGTTTTTAAGACCATTTATCTGAAATGGTATAGGGTTTCCTACCTGACCAGTGCATAAAAACCTCCAAGGTCCCTTCCAACTCTGTTATTCTGTTAAAAAAGATAGGAAAATGAAATCTGCAGTCTTATTTGTGCCTGCCAGGCCACCTCCTAAATACAAAATCATTTTAAAAATAGAAAAAGAAGGATGCTACTCCAGCAACATGAGACCTGACTTTGAGGAATGGGCCACCCACAGTGTCTCAGATCCTGGGCTGCTCAGCTCTAGAGTTTGCGCTCAAGGTCCACTTCCAGCTGCCCCATGGGGGCTTTTATTTTGATGAAACGGCCAAGGTGAGAAAGTTGGCCTCAGCTTAAAAATTCCATTCCACATGAGAGATGTTTAAAGAAAACCAGTTGCTCTTCAGAGGCTGGTTTTTAGAGGAACGTCATTTATCAAAGAGTGAAAGGGTGTCTATTTATTCCCTTTTGGTAAAAGGGTGTTCTTGTGGTGACTGCTGTTTTTGTGGAGATATTTTGCACCCCTCACGTTTAATAAAAATACTTTGCAAATAAGTAAAGGCTTTTATGCCAACGAAATGACAGAACAATACAATTATCATGTCACTGTACATAGCATTTTGCTCTAACTCTGTAAATAATTTATGTCATCATTGTACATTTTTGAATAACTAATACTACTTTTAAATGCACATTAGTGTCATAAAAACATCAGATGTTACTTGGCTGATACACTTTGCATAATGACAGCATAGCAAATGCTGAAGGCTTTCACACGGAGAGAAGGCAGATAGTGGCAGTTTTACTATGTTCTGACCAAAGGACAGTACAGAGCTTTTCAAAGAATGCAGCCATATACTGTTGGCTGATCAATATTTCAGTGCAGTGAAAATTTCAATTTGTATTATTTATTTGCCTGTGATCACTAATCATTGGCAAAGATGCCAAGAAATATTAGGGATTCTTTTTGCAATAAAAAAAAAGGGGGGGGGGGGCATGCAGGTTAAAACTAATGAAATGATGAAATAATGACAGAGGAAACTAACTTCAGCATTTTTGGTAGGCATTAAGCAGAAAATAAATTCATTATGTTGGCATATAGGGTTATAAATCAATAATGTGCCATCGAGATTAACATATATCAGTGAAGCAAATCAGCTCTGGATACTATCTTTGGCCCTATCTGCTTTGGGGTTCTTTTTATATTAGGCAATATGAAATTCACATTGCCAAAATTACCAATAAAGGAGAATATTTGTAGCTCAGGATTGAAATGAGGGGTCTTTGGTGCTCTCTGAGCTTGTTTTTTTTTTCTTGCAGACATTTCATTACCCTAACTAGGTAACTTCATCAAAATGGTTTTTTTATGAGAAATCCAACAAGGATGGTGCAATTGAATATGGTAAGATTTACTTGTTCCTAAACATTACAACATACAAATAATGCTTTCAGTACTTTCTTTCCTAATAAGTTGGTATGAAATCACTTGTATGATTAATTTCATTCTGATATGCCATTCAGTTGTATTCTACTCCATTCCATCACATTATTTGATGCCGCTTGATTCTGAATGACTTTAGGTGCTCACAATATACCAAGAGAGTAGAAAAAACAGTAGACAAATGGCAACAAGGCCTCAGACAAATGGAAGGAAGAAGAGCAAACTGACAAATATGAGATGAGGTAAAATCTCACCAGATGGAAGCTGAATGAATACACGTCACTTTAAGTCTTGTGTTTTCCTTTCATTTCTTAGTAAACTTTGCATCTACTGGATGGTATAAACCATTACTAATATTTGCTGATATCTGGTTGAACACACAAAGGGAAAAATATGTGATCTCTGTTATTTTCAGTTGAACTGCTCTGTTTATTTAAGTAAAGTATAAGGTTTTTTATATCCTGACTCATGAGATTATTATGTGCATAAATGCATTTATTTATTTTTTTGTAGCAAAGAAAATAATGGTTGACTTTTATTTTTTATTTCACAACCATGAATGGCTTAACCTTCATTTTCAGACTTAGGTGAGAATATTTGCCACATCAACCAGTCTATCGTCTAAAGATATGTAGGAATTGATTCCTGCACTGGATAGAAAGTTGAACTAGATGCTCTCCAAAGTCCTTTGCAACCTTACATTCTATGATTCTATGATATAGCTATATAGATAAATGTCTCAATATCTGTAATAAAAAGTACATGGCTGTATATTTTCTCACGCATTGTTTCCAAAAATTGGTTGGCTTCCTGTGGAAAAAATAGTCTACAAGCTATTTCTCAATGTCCATCTCTTAACACAAACTAAAAAAGAAACCTCACAATATTAGAGGTTCATAGAAATAAAAATAAACAGTGCACAAATCAACAATGAGATGTATGCCTCTTAATATTAAGGCAGAATTAAATTAATAATAATGAAGTTCTGTGTATACTTACTCAGAAATAAATCATGTTGTGTTGTGTTGTATGGATACACTTCTTAGGCAAGGGTTTTTACTATTGATTATCATTTTATTGTACTCTACCCAGTCATGTTTCTGTGAGATGGGTGGCATATAAATATGATAAATAATAAATATTTCATGTGTCCAATATGGTCCATATCTAATTATATTGCAGCTTACTTTTACAACTTCTACAATCAAATTATCAACTTGACCTTGTCATTTCAATTTTCACACATTTTCTTTCTCCCACCCCCCTCCCCCAGCTTGAGTTACCCTATCACACTAAAATCTCATCTTTGCAGCCCATTGCTAAGGGCTACTAATCTGTAATTCAGTTCAGTCTCAAAAATGTCAAATAAAATGAACAAGGTAAAACCCAGAGGAGGCAAATTTCATGTGATCAGGTGAGGCTGGATCTCCTGATCATCCTGAGGAATAAAAACACCCTTTTCCTCCTTACCAGAGAACCAGAAATGGGTATACATTCCACAATGTAGGCCTTTTATTAATTCTACCTTCTTCTTGTTCTCTATGTGCTTAGTCTACTCTCAATTTGCACTTAATGTTAGGTTTTGTAGTCTGCCCTATTCTAAATATAGGCTATTTCAAAGTCTGATTACTTCTGCAAACAAAGCTCTTATAGTATAACATGAGGACACCCCATGGTGAATACTGACACCCAATTTTTAAAATTTATTTTATTTAAGAAACTCTATATAGCTGCCCAACTCTCATTGTCTCAGAAGGGATCATTTGCGCTGTCAGGTATAATTTCAATTTTAAACCTTTATTGTCAGAGTACAACATGTGTACAATGAGATTGGCTCAGCCTCCCTTTGTGCACACCCCCCCCCCTCAACCCAATACAACTCACAGTGAAAGACAGGAAAAAAAATCCTTAACCCAGTGAATCCTACTAACAAACACACAATCCTGCTGCACCATGTAAACTTATTGCACATCGTGCCGGCCCCGCAAGTCAATCGTACTCTGTTGTTGTAAAGTTATTTTCCGTTCAGAAGCCTGACAGCCCATGGATAAAAACTGTTCTTCAGCCTGTTTGTGTGGCTGCCTATGCTTCTATATCTCCTTCCCGATGGTAGGAGGGTAAAGAAGTGGTGACCAGGGTGAGAGTTGTCCCTGAGAATTTTCCTCACTCTTCTAAGGCAGAGAGCCCTAGCGATGTCATCTAGTGGTATCAGGGGACAGCCCACAATGTTTTGTGCTGTGTTTACCACCCTCTGTAATGTCTTTCTATCCGCTGCCGTCAAACCAGCATACCACACCGTAATGCAATGAGTGAAGATGCTTTCTATTGTGGACCGGTAAAAGGAGGTCATCAGTTGTTGTTCCACTTTGTTTTTTCACAAGACCCTGAGGAAGTGGAGTCTCTGTTGGGCCTTTCTGGCCACCTGGGTCTCACCAGGTGAGATCTTCGCTGAGGTAGACTCCCAGGAATTTAAAGGAGGAAACTCTTTCTATATTAATAATTCCATATTCCAGTGTGGGAATCCAAATTAAAGCATCCTTAAAAAAGAAGTGACCTTCCACAAGAATCACAATGATCACATGTATCAGGATGTATGTATATACTGTAATTTCCTTTACAAGTTTGACATTATCAAATAGGAACAATTTTGTAGTACCATACTTAAACCTACATAAGTAGGAATGATAATTTTACAGCATTGTCATCAAGACTTTGGCATTAAAAAAAAGCCAACCATGTCAAATGTCAGATAATAAAAAGCCATGTTACACCATTTTCTCCTCTCCTCTTTCCTTCTGTGTTTTCCTGTCTTTTCTTCTTTTCTTTAACTTTTTAATTGAGCTCCACTCTTAACTACTTCATGAACACATGCACACAATTTTTTTTGGCACCAACACAGAAATGGCTTGTATTTACTTCTTCCAGAATTTTTCTTTTATTTTTACTTCCAAGTCCCTTACTATAGCCCTGGGATTATCTGCTGCTCTCCACCCAATTATTAACCAGGTCAGATAATGCTTAGCTTTCTAAAGACTATTTAAATTCATTCAGGAGCCCTCCGCTTCCATTTTGCTTAGTTTGGGATTTGAAAATAGATCATAAAAATGTATGTCCTAAAACCCCTTAATGTCTATCTATGCCATTGTTTTTCTAAGTGAGCTACCCCTTGTTCTTTAGCTATTTGAGTATTCTCTTAGGAAAGTGCTCCAATATATTCTGAGAATCTTAGGAAATGTCTGCCTAGGAATATTTCAACGAAACAAAAGATTGAATGCTCAATAAATGTATCACATAAGCCATTGATAGATGGGTCATTCCTAAACCAGTATACCTGTCAGGTGTGAAAGACCGGGTCCATAGAAGAAGGTTGAATTAAACTGATTTATTGTTCAAAGCCTATGCATAGGAATCACCTGAGCTAATGGTTGGCACCTGCTTAGAGTTAAATACAGGTCAACAGCACTCAAAGGGCTTAGACTTAGTTCTTTTGTGGCTATATAGGGATTCTAGGCTGATCCCTCTTTTCATTTCAGCCCCAGGTTCTGCCATCCCATCTCCTACAATACCTATCTAACTAAGTTTCTTTGTCAAGATTCTTTCTGAATGTCTCCCCAAAATCTGGCTGAACTCACTCCTGAACATTCTCCAGATTACCATTTTTATTTGGTTGACCAAGTTTTTTTCATAGGCTTTTTGAGCGCATTTGCTTTTTATAGGTCTAGGTCAGAACTCAGAATCATATGGCAGCCCTCTGGGATCAGGTTTTCTTTGAGATCTGGAAGACTGTCACCTGTTGATGTTTCAAAGCACCTGGAAGATCTGACTCTTTGCTCAGGCCTTCGTTGAAGGTGACTTTTCATTCTCCTATCATTTTTAATGACCCTTCACATCTTTACTCTTCATTTTGGTTTATTCTCATATTTTTGTTTCTCATTTTTAAATGTTTTATTTGTAACTGCCCAGAGTCATGGTTCACATATAAAGTTAAATAACAACAACAGTTCCTCAAAAGGCATATATAAGAGGGGTTCCTTCCTAGGAACACCTTTGCCTATGAAGGGTCCCAAATCTTTATTTCTTTTGCCCCACTTAACCCCTGCATATCAGTTTTAAACTTGAGTAATCACCCAGGAAGTTATCACTGATTTCAAAGGAAAAAGAAAACCTACATTATTTGAATACTGTCACATTTCAGATTTAGAAAGTACTCTACATGGGACTTCAGTCAAATTTATGGACCATGTCTGAACATTACCATCTTCAACATGTTCAGAAAATTAATTTCCTTGCCACATTTCACATCCATCACTCATTTAGTGATAAGTGCACCAATCACTTGCCAGTGTAGTCTTTGTAACTGTGTGTAGCCTGGATGATTGAACTATGTAGGCTAATACTATGGAAGATAAGCAATTTCTCATGTAATCAAGCCCTATGCAATGAAGAGCTTTAATAGTTAACATATACCTGTAAGCTAACCGGCAACCAGTGCAACTTGCAAAGCAAGGGTATCATATGGACATACTGAGGTAGGCTTATCCTGCCTGCACAGGTACTCTTCAAGGGCAGCCCTATATAAAGAGTGTTGCAGTAGTCAAGCCTTGAAGTGACCAAGGTGTGACTGTTTTTACATTATTTTATGACAACCAAAACATTTCTGCTCATATCTAAGAAAAATAAGTATTTGATCTGAACCAGTAGAGCTCTATCCTAGAGGAGAAACAGGGTCCTATGTGAAGTAGATGGAAGGAGAGAGATCCTTCCTCATATATCCAAGCTGAGAATTGATTTGGCCATCTCATAAGGAAGTCAATGCAGGAACATCACAAGAGAAATACATTCATATTCGCTTTTGCTTTGAAGAATTTTCAAAAACCTGCTCTCCTCCTCAATCTGAAGGAGAATGGATAGAGAGAAAAATGCAGAGGTGGTTTTTTTTTTTTTTTTTTTTTTTCACAGCATTTTTTGCTCAAATATTTGCTGGGCAACTTCACTGGCTAGCTCCACTGATCCCAGCTGCTGAAGGCTCTCTCATACAAGACACCAACTCAGTCTCCTTAAGAAATCTAATTTCCTTTTTGAATCATGATTTGTTGACAATCCCAGGTGGTAAAGGGCCTGGCTTCCCTCTTAATTGCCAAGTATATTTGTCAGTCTCCACTTTTATATTGCTTGCTTGCTACGGCTGCCATTGAAACGGGGGGAGGGGGAGCTGTCTGGATAGTTGGGAGGGGGGAAATGAGCTGGTGGAGTGAATTGGAGAAAGTTTTCCTCAGTGTTTTTCTGCAGCTGGGAAGCGCACTGATAACTAGTCAAGGTCAACCATCCTGGCATACCAGAAGGATGGAGCCATTGGAAGCTGTGCCCCACATGACCCCTTGGGGGGATGTGGATTGGATAATCCTGACTGGACCATAGGGGGGAGGGTTTTAAGGATGCTTTCTATATGTGATTTTCGCACCTATTGCCTCAGAACTTGCTTTTCTTTGGTTGCATTCAGTTCATACTCAGTAAAAGTACCTTTCTCTATGAAAATGGAGTCAGGGTTTTTCTTTCTTGAGTACTGAAAGGAGGCATATCTGACAATATTTATAGTTTTGCTAGAGCTCTTTATTTTGGGAGCCCATGTTAATAATACAAACAGGGAATATATAACATCACTTATCCAGCATCTGCCCTTCTTGTTAAAAAATTAAGCACGTCTGGAATCAAAGGAGATAACGGTTCAGCTTCACTGGCAAGAAAAAAGACTGAAGCTTTGCAGCACTTCAGCATGAAATATTTGAAAATATTTGTGTTGGCAGCACTGGCCGGTCCAGGCATTTCCAAGAGCAGAGTTAACAAAATACTTCCACCCCACGGAGACATAAATAAAATGTTGGAAACAACTCGTCATTCCATCTGCTTTCTCCCAAGCACTTTTTCTGACAGGCATCTCTCCTGGAAGAGAGTATCATTTTCAAGAAGCATCAGAAAGTGCAAATGTAACTAATAAAAGAGTGACAGGAGCGGTGGTGTTAGCAAAGATTTGGATGGCTCAAAGTTGGGCACTTGTCTTATTTATGGCAGAGTTTTCTTTATCTATGTATCACAGCCTTTTTCGGAACATCACATATCAGGTCGGGAACTGAGTCCCTCATCTCTTTTTTTTCCTCAGCTGCTTTTGACTCAGTATTTTTGTGATGAATGTTCACAGTAATTCAAAGGATTAGGAATGGAATCATTGACTTTCTCCCAAAATAAATATATGCATGTATATATTGCTGGTTGACAGAATTCACGACTCTGTACTTGGTGCTCAGCAAGCTTGAATGATTGGCATTGTTTTCTGCACCGAATGATTCCTTTTTTCTTTTTCTTTTTTAATGTCAGATCTGCACACTTGAGAAGATGATCTGTGATCACTCTTCTGAAGTGCTGGCATGATGGCACAGTGGTTAGAATGCAGTATTGCAGGCTGACTTTGCCCACTGCCAGCAGTTCAATCCTGATGGGGCTCAAGGTTGACTCAGGTTTTCATCCTTCCAAGGTGAGTAAAATGAGGACCCAAATTGTTGGGGGCAATAGGCTGACTCTGTAAATCGCTTAGAGGAGGTTGTGAATCACTGTGAAGCAGCATATAAGTCTAAATGCTATTGCTATTGCTAAAGTCATCCTTGCCACCCTGAAAGAATTACTGCTACATTACTACTAATAGTGTGAGTTCTGTGCAGCAGGGGAAGAGGAATATGGGAGATTGTGGGCCTGAGACTTTTTCTTGATGTCTGTTAGAGGTCTAGGATTTCTGACAAATCCTTCTTGCTCGGGCAAGTGAATGATATGAGAGAGAAGCTTGAAGGTCTATGAAACTTTGAGAAGCAGATGATAAAGAAAAGAATGAAGCAAAACGTTGATACCTCTTTCCTTTCCTAGGATGAGGTTTCTGAACCATGATAGCTATTTTCCTGGTAATTCTTCGTTGCCAGGTGAGGTGTGTATCTTCAAATGAATCTAAACATTTGTATTTCAGCTGGTGGCAAGGCTGTCAATGAAGCTCAGGTGTTACGTACGCAAAAGGAAGGCCTGTTACTATAGTCATACATGCTAGTTTAAAGGCACAGCTGGCAGGTCCAATTTCTTTCTTTATTAAGAAGTATAAATACTCAAATGCAATTTGGATTAGGATTCTAGCGTAAGAGAAAGAGCTTTGGCCTTTTTTTTCTCCTTATTATAGCCATATCAAGATATGGAGCATCTGAAGAGTGGAAAGTGTCAAAAAAATCTTTGTTCAGCATGTCACAAACACCCTGGTCTCGACTAAGGGCCAGTATGCCAACAGTTTGTGTTACCAAAATTGACATCTAAACAATAGAAGCTTTTTCAGCAATGTAAGTTGTACATGCAGTATGCAACAGGAGCAAAAAGTTGAAGCTTACTTCAGCCAAAGTCCAACTTCCTAATAACACAAGGGCAGAAAAGAGACTGTACTTTAAAGATGAACTATGAGTTCATATTTACCTATGTAGAAGACTTTCCTTAGTTTTTAAAGTTTATTATATAACTCTCTGAACATACAACATTTTGGTTTGTTTTTGGTAAATTAAGAACATGCATCAAAACTAAAAATAAAAGTTTGTTCTCATTCTATTACCTTTTTAGCCCTGGTCTTGCCCATATCCTTGAGTGTGGCTGTTGGCTCAGGATACTGAGTGCAAATGACTCTGTGGTCAATGGCCCATTATCCTGGGCATTTGTTCTTGAAGCTGCAGTTCTGCTTATCTTAGTTAACACATCAGGGTGTAATCTGGCTCCTTGATGTGTTTTATACATGTTCAAACGTACATTGACAAATAGGCTGAGTCACACTTCCTTTCAATAGATTCTACCTTTTTACCCTCTCCCATATGGAATTGGAGATAATTGGTATGTGTAATTCACAAATAATTTCAATTCATGATAATTCTACCCACACAGACATATGTAATTAAGCAACACATAATAGAATGATTGTTGACTTCAGTCTTTGAGGGGAAAGGCTGAGGCCCCAGGAGCTACAAATTTTGAAGGATAGGGGCCCCAAAGGAAAAAAATGGCTTCTTTTCTTTCCATGGAAGGTTAGGGTTATACACATGATCACCTAAAGGTAAAGGTAAAGGTTTTCCTAGTCCAATCATGTCTGATTCTAGAGGATGATTCTCAGCTCTATTTCTTAGCTGAGGGTGTCAACATCATCAGAAGATGCTTCCATTGTCATGTGGCCAGCATGACTATACACTGAGGCTCAGGAACACTGTTACCTTCCCATCGAAGTGGTATCTATTTATCTACTCACATTTGCATGTCTTTGAACTGTTAGGTGGGCAGGAGCTGAGGGAAGTAATGAGAGCTCACCCCATCATGTGATGCTCGGGTCTTGAACTGGTCAGTGCTTGGGTCTTGAACTTGGGTCTTGAATCCTGAGTCATCATGCCGCCTTCATGAATACTTAAACATCCCTAAGTGAAATTTTTCAGATTTTCATTGCTCTCTAAGTGAGATCAATGTGGAGCTGCTGTTTCCACCAGAGAATATACTCAGGGCAGTATGAAGACAAAATTTGTGTAAGAAACGAGTCAAGAAATGCAAGGATGGTTAGAACTTCTTTTCAATAATAACTATGTCTATAGGAAACAGTAGTTATGCCATGTTCCCTACCAGAGGCTCTCTCTACTAATTGATTGAAGGAATGTGAACTTTTCAGAAAATATTTCATTTGAGTGTGAAGACCCTCACTTACACTCCTGCAAAGAGCAGGTGGCATCTTGTTGTGCTATGAATTTGAATTTGTGTGTGGTTCCACTCCGTGGCTTCAGATTAATTTCTCTTATGATTTGATTATATACAGTATACTATAGTCAGTTTTACATTAAAAAAAAAACCCTATGTGTTGGCCTCACTTTCTTAAATACATATAAACACTAGGTTTGAACCTCATTTATAAAGTACCAGGGAAGTGGTGTTAGTGCTTTATTTTTTAACAGTTTTTTAAACCAGCAACATATCTCAGATGAGCAACTAGAAAAACTTAAGAAAATGTGATTAAGATAATACAACAAAGGATCCATCTATCGTTTCTATTTGGAAATGAAACTCTGATCTTGAGATTTGATTAACTGGATACATTTTGATTCTAGAAATATTCTGTATTGTTATTGCTTCTGTTTGATATGCATGATCTATAAATTATGCCATGATTTTAGTTTGAAGCTAGGGTGCTATATTTTTATACATTTGGACTTATACTGAAGAAAGTAGGAAGCTACTCTTTTTCTATATATTTGTGTGTGTTTGTGTGTGTGTGGAAGCCAAAACGGGGCACTCATGGGGACTCCTGGGAGGGGTGGGCCAGGGCCAACCAGAGCTGGGATTAGCCAATTCTCCAAACTGGGCAAAAAGTTAACAACAAGTTCTCTTGAACCAGTGTGCACTGGTTGAATCCCACCTCCCTCCCTCCCTCCCTCTCTGTTGTTATACCTTTAATTCTTTTTTTCTTGCTTTTTAGACCTTTCTTTCCCCATTATTCTATACTTTATTAGCTTTGGAAACGTAATACAATTTTATTTTAAAAATATAACAAAGGGGTTCACGTACTTTGTGGGCATAAATGCTGATGCTATGCCTATAGGGTTGTCCATCAGGCTGACATTGTCAACCAAGGTGTCTGAATCTGGGAGCCCCTGATGTCCCGGCAATGTTGCCCAGATTTAATGTTGTGAGCATTTGGATTTGTAGCATAGAATCCTCTACGCCAGGGCTGTCAAACTTGTGGCCCACAGGCTGGATGCATCACACACTGGCCATGCCCATGCCCAGTTTAGCGAAGGGGGAGAAAGTCCTGATATGTCACGTGATGACTCTGTGACGACACAAGTTTGACATCCCTGCTCTATGCTGAAGACTTCTCCAATTGCACCAAATGTCAATCATTTGACCCTTCAGCCAGCCTCCACACTCAAACCCAGCACTTTAACTGAAAGGAGCCACATGCTCCCTTGGTTTAATGACAGAGTCAAACGTTCCAGTACAATTCTGTGCAGGCCTCCTAAGAAGTAAACCAACCTAAAGAATAACCAAGATGGGCAATATTTTGGTCCTCAGACAACATATTTATTATTCCTCTGGAGAATGAGAGCGATGGAGGCAGGGCCGTATCACCCTTGTGGGTGGGACTGGAATTCTCTATGATTTGGAGGCAAGGAATTTATTCTCCCTATTGTATTAACTATACAAAGTGTATAGTGAAATGAGTAAATTGACCTTTGAAATTAGAGAACAAGAAGACAAACAATATTATATGATATGGGATTTATTTTACCAATGGCTAGATAATAAAACATGGAAATGAAATATGAAATATAAATTGAATGTTATAATATAATATGTGAAAATAATCTTTATGGAATGATAATGCCATTGTTAAATAAATGACAAATGAGGATAATAATTTAAAGATATATATCAGGTTGATAATATGAGAAATTAGATAATTAGTAAATTATGAATATGGGGACAAAGCACAAAAGATTTGTAACCGACCGACACACTGTTTGCAATTGTAATGGATGATGAATGTTTTATGTTTTGTTTAAAAATTAATTTTTTTAAAAAAAAAGTGTTTTTGAATTACACATTCAGATTATATATGATTTTAGTTTTATATGTTTTCCACACCAACATTAAATTTTAGGCCAGAGCTTTCTGAATACCGTGCAAGCAGTTTTAGAGGCTGCTTGTAGCTTTGGAGCCATTAGTTGGTCACTTTTGGTATGTCAAATAGCCTACCATTGACAAGAATAAAATATAAAATAAAATGTTAAAATACTTTCTCTTATGGCTTGATTATGTATACTATTGTCAGGTCCCAAAATAAAATACATATGAAATACTTTATATAGTTAGGTTTATTTTCCTTCCAAAGGAGAATACTATTAATACAGCACCATCAAAATGCACCAAGTATAAGTGTTCAAGTTCTTACATTAGGAAGTTTGCAATCTTAGATTTACATCGAGGGAGGGGGGGGTGCAAAGGAAAGGAAAACGAATAGAGGCATTGTGGGAGCAATGTGTATTTATTTATTTATTGCATGTGCAGTAAAAGGTATGGTGTTAGTGGGGTCGTGTTGACACAACACAGCTGTGTTGACATCAAAACTCTACCCAAATCATATCTATGAAAAGGGCAAAATGTCCATGTTGAAGGCTTAAAACCTGTTGCTTTAACGGTAACTTTCCATTGGGTTATATTAAGTGCAGATCATCTACACTGAAGACTGTTGTGCTAAAAACCTGAAGATTTCACCTAGACAGCTGAATTGTCATGTTGCTGGTAGGTAAACCATTCACTTACAAAATTCTTAAGACATTCATAGACCTACATGTATGCCTGCGTATTTGCTGTATAATTCCAGGTGCAATTCAGAAGTGCTGGTTGCCCCTTTTAAAGCCTTAAGTGGCATGAGACTAGGTTATTTATGGGACAACCTATCTCTGATATCACCTGTCCCATCAGATTTGGCAGTGTAGGCATGCTTCAGGCTTCTTGGATGAAAGCAGGGTCATCTTGGAAATATGCCTTTCCAATGCATATCTATCTGTTATGATGTCTCTGTTAGGTAATAGTTCCATCTAAGAGATTCAGATGGTCCTGACCCTTTTGGCCTTCAGGAAAGTGGTGAATCTATCTAGGCGTATATGCCTTCTTTCTTATCTCTAATGTTGTGTCTAATCCAGCTGAGCCATTTTATGTGTGTGTGTGTGTGTGTGTGTGTGTGTGTGTGTGTTTGCATATATATTAATATCAATGGTCTCTACAGCTGACTGTTGTTTTTGTTAAATAACCTAATCTTGGGAAGATCCTAGAGTCCCATGAGTTGAAAGCAAGACTTTCTTCAGACGCAACTATGTTCATAAAACTGATCATGGCAGTTTCTTGCTATAATGAAGATAAATAATTCTGCTATTAAGATTATCACTCACACCTGGACATATTTAATACCATCAATGAAGAATGTTCACAGGCACCCCTGCAATTAAAGAAAATGTTACCATGGAACATATTTGCTAGCTTCATTTGCCAGGTTGAAAAGAAAACAAAGGCAACTTCTTGTCACAATGAAAACCAGATGTACTTCATTAAAAAAAAAAAGAGTTAATTATAGTGCAGATAATTTAACAATAGGCACAGGGCCAGTGGCTCCTAAATGGATAAACTCAGAGTAGAAGGGTAAATATATCTAAATACCATTGATGTAGACTATCACTGGAAAAAAAAAACCTGCAGTTAAATTTCACATAAATTTAACATTTGTCATAAGATTTGGACAACAAGCTGAACGATGGGATCCGACCATTTTCTAGAAGCAAAATCTGAGTAAATATGTATAGACATTTACCAAGTAATATCACAGTTTAAATAGAATCATAGGACAGGATTGAATATTGTGCAAGCAGAATTTTGCTTACTTAGTGGAACTTTCTATTCTCTTGAGACTACTCTTAAATTTTCTTCAGAGGTCCCCAACCTTCCAGGTACATTTTATGGAGATGAAAAACTGCTGCTCCGTTAGCAGACAGGTATCCCTGGATTCCTTCCATATCTGTTTATTAGCACTGTCTGGTTAGGGAATTATCCATTACTAATGTATTTCTTTGAAGGAGGTACTTCATTCATCTTTCTGTATTCATTTCATTTTCATTTCATTTTATTAGATTTCTATACCGCCCTACTCCCGAAGGACTCAGGGCGGTGCACAGCCAAACAATAAAAACACATACAATACAAAATTTAAAAAATAGAATAAAATCAAATTAAATAATTTTGGCCTCGACAAATTTAAAACCCCAAACTTTTAAAACCAATTTAAAATTGAATATATAAATACTAAAAGATATTTAAAATTTTAAAAATCTTTTATAAAAGAGGGGAAAAATTAGGCCAGGCCGGCCTGGTGAAATAGTAAGGTCTTTAAGGCGCGGCGGAAGGTGCGCAGATCCAGGATCCTCCGTATCTCTGGGGGGAGCTCGTTCCAGATAGTAGGTGCCCCCACAGAGAAGGCTCTCCCCCTGGGGGCTGCCAGTTGGCATTGTTTGGCTGACGGCACCCAGAGGAGCCCCTCTCTATGGGAGCGTACTGGCCGGTGGGAGGCTATTGATGGTAGTAGGCGGTCCCGCAAGTACCCGGGTCCTAGGCCATGGAGCGCTTTAAAGGTGGTAACCAAAACCTTGAAGCGCATCTGGAAGACCACCAGGAGCCAGTGCAGCTCGTGCAGGAGAGGTGTTACATGGGAACGCCATGTCGCTCCCATTACCACCCGCGCGGCAGCACTCTGCGCCAGTTGGAGCCTCTGGGTGCTCCTCAAGGGGAGCCCCATGTAGAGAGCGTTGCAATAGTCCAGGCAGGAGGTGACAAGGGCATGAGTGACCGTGCGTAACGAGTCCCGATCCAGAAAGGGATGCAACTGGCGAATCAGGCAAACCTGATGAAAAATCCTCCCGGTCACGGCCGTCAAGTGCTCTTCTAAAGACAGCCATGAATCCAGGAGGACGCCCAAGTTGCGAGCCCTCTCCGTGGGGGCCAATGATTCGCCCCCAATAGTCAGTGATGTATCATTTTTACTCTCCTATGATTCTGTCTCATAATTTTGATATCCCATTTCTTGATATATGATATATTGGCTTGATAATTGTCTTGCTGGGAGAGAAGACACTCAGACGAGGTGGGGATTCATGGTGTGGAAACACTATGTCTGACAAGGATTTGGGTGAGCTCATTGACAACAAGCTGAATATGAACAAGCAGGATGTGACAGCTGCTCAGAGGACAATGGGCTGCATTAGAAGAAACAATGTATTAGCTTCTGGTGAGGATATGGTGAGGTAGATGTGCCTAAATGGTTGAGGATGACATTACAGCCAAAATGAGAAGTCAAAGAACTGATCCTGATCAGCAAAATCTCCCTGGAGAAAGGAAAGATCATGGACTAATGGTTTAATAATATCTCCCTCTCCCTTCCTCCCTCTCCCTCTCTCTCTCTCCCTCTCTCTCTCTCTCTCACACACACACACACACAAACATCTCTCTCTCTCCATCTATCATCCATCCATTTCTCCATCCATCCATCTATCTATCTATCTCCATCCATCCATCCATCATCTATCTCTATCTATCTATCATCTATCTATCTATCATCTATCTATCTATCTATCTATCTATCTATCTATCTATCTATCTATCTATCCTATATCAGTTTATTTTTATCCTGCCGTTATTTTTATCAGTAATTCAAAAGGGTGAACATACCTAATATTCCTTCATCCTCCTGTTTTCCTCATAACAACAATCCTGTGAGATGGATTGGTCTGAGAGAGGTTGACTGGCCTCAAATCTTTCTTTCTGAACCAAGCTGAACATAGAAATTATTCTTGTGACTCCTTCAACTTTATCTCTAGGCAAACTAATTTTCTCATTCTCTTAAATTTCTAATCTGATGTGGATGTATGATAACATTTCCTTCCCCTAGGCTGGAATGAAAAGAATGACCAACTGTAAGGTAAAGGTAAAGGTTCCCCTGCACATATATGCTAGTCGTTTCCAGCTCTAGGGGGCAGTACTCATCTCCGTTTCAAAGCCGAAGAGCCAGCACTGTCTGAAGACATCTCCGTGGTCATGTGGCCGGCATGACTCAACATCAAAGGCGCACGGAGCGCTGTTACCTTCTCACCAAAGTGGTCCCTATTTTTTTTGTTGCATTTTTTACATGCTTTCAAACTACTAGGTTGGCAGAAGCTGGGACAAGTAATGGGAACTCACCCCATTATTGTGGCGCTAGGGATTCAAACGGCTGAACTGCCGACAGTCTGATCGACAAGCTCAGTGTCTTAGCCACTGAGCCACCATGTCCAACTGTATGGCGGTCCAAACCAGTAAGTGCATAAAAAGCGAAAGAAGATCTCTGGATGTGATGCTGAATTTGGGATCCAATGGGGCTGTGGAGCCTGTGATATTTACCCTGAGGTCTAACTCTAGCAACTCATTGTGAAGGTTCCTCATTGTTGACCTTCAGTCAGGGGTGTCAAACTCAAAGCCTGCCGGCTGGATCCAGTCCCCACTATGGTCGGATCTGGTCCATGATGTGGTCAGATCTGACCCGCAGGACCATCCTGGTCTACCCAGTGCAAAGAGGAAAGATCAGTCCAGTGTGGCTTTGGCCCAGTCTACCCAATGCAAAGAGGAAACATGCCAGCAGTTTGGGGAGTAGCGTCAAGCTGGCCATGCGCACCCAGTCGGCAACACACACCAAGTCAGCCACGCCCACCCAACCCCCCCGAGGTCAGCCACAGCCCTGATCCTGCCCTCAATGAAATTGAGATGGACACCCCTGCCTTCAATGATTCTCTCACTAGCAGGTTCATGTCAGAATCAAACTGGAACTGGTTTTGAATTCCTTTAATTCAAAGTACTCCATCACCCAACCCAATGGCCACATAACAGTGTCTAAGAAACAAATTGAAAGAGCTGTGGTAACCCTAAATTATTCAGGGAAGAAACTTCCATTGTTCCAGTATGCTTACAGCAAAGCAAGCACAGAATAATGTTCTGAGAAATGTCAGATTTACTCTATTTTCCTACATATTTCCTATGATGTAGCCCTTTCTAAAGACTAGATTTCACTAGTTAAGAAGGTCTAGTCAACTTGTAAAATAAATGTGTATTTTTCCAAAAGTATCTTTCTTTTCCAAAATCTTTGCTCGAGCAAATCTAATTTAAATTACAGATTTCATTAGGCCAGGTCTCCAGGATTGGCTAATTATTATCCTTAAAAAAAAAGAAAAGAAATAATTCATTTGGTTCAAAAAAATTTCACTGATTGAATTAAAATATTCTCCCTAACAGCCACATCTCAGGTCATCTGTAGCTGGCTGGTTTGCCCCCATCCCACTGTTTCCAACAAAAACAGTACTACACAAGAAGAAAGTTTTGAAAGATGTTTATTTTTATAACTAGGGATATACACTGTGTAACCTGATTTTTTTTAAGAGCAGTTGTCAATTTCAGTCTATGTCTCCCACTGAAAAGTATGCCTGATCTCAACGAACGGGAGCCACTCCAAATGAATGATTAATAATCAATGTGTCTGCTGTCTTCTTTCTTGTTATTATTATTCATCCCCAAAGATTTATTTGATAACTTCACAAAAGATGGTAAGACCAGAGAACAATCATGCTACATTAAATAGGTGAAGGACAATAGTGGGTTTCTACCAGGGGTGGGTTCTACTTACCTTTACTACTGGTTCACAACAGGGCTGCGCACATATGCGCAGAAGCGTTCTGATGAAGTTGGGGTCGGTGGGTGGAGCCTCCTTCCAGTTTTACTACCAGTTCTATAGAACCGGTCCGAACCGGGGGCAACCCACCACTGGTTTCTACCATTTCACCCCGGTTTGGGCGAACTGGTAGTGTCAGCAGCGGGAGGCTCTGCCCATCCACCCAGACGTCATCACGGACGCTCTGCGCATGCGCAGAAGGGCCATGCACGCACAGAAGGGCATGCACGCACGCTCCTGGTTCCAAACTGGTAGCAAAGGTAAATGGAACCCACTACTGGTGAAGGATGAAAATCTCTAAATGGATCATCCAGATGCAATTCCTTGGGCCTTCAGGTATTGCTCCTAGATTCTGGACATTTCACCAAGGGGAAATATCCAGTTTGAACAATAAACAACAGAATAATAGAGTTGGAAAGGACCTTGGAGGTCTTCTAGTCCAACCCCCCACTCAGGGAAGAAACCCGATACCATTTCAGACAAATGGTTGTCTAATCTCTTCTTAAATACTTCCAATGTTGGAGAATTCACAACTTCTCGTCAATTAAACAGTGAAACAGTCTTTTCACTATTTAATTGTTCTATTTGCCAGGAAATTTCTCCTTAGTTCTAGGTTGCTTCTCTCCTTGGTTAGTTTCCACAAAGATGGAAAGTGCTAAAAGATATGCTTTGGTTGATCTTATGAATTGCGAGACAGTGGTGTTAAGAAAAATATATTTATTTACTCACGTATTTCTTTTTACTCAAGGCCCTAGTGGATGAAACATCATTTCAGAACCAGGAAACAAGTTGGTCTGCATGAACCTCAGAATAGCCTCAGGGCTACTTCCAGAGCTCTGAAGCTGACTACAATCTTGGTTAAGCAATCTCTGCAAAGCCTTAGCTTTCCTCCATAGCAAAGCTACAGAAAAGTCATCATTCAAGAAATGTCTACCACAGATATCCATTAGGTTGACTGTGCAGCACTCTTTCCCATCCCTACTTCTAATCTATATTATTCTTTGCAAAGAATAATGATATAAGACATACATTGACTGAAAAGAAGGATGTATTAAAGAACACACTGTCACCTTCTCCTTCCTGGTCCAATGGGGCAAGATATGTCAGGATCTCAGCTGCTGTAAATGGATGAATAATATTTTCAAGAGTGACTCTAAAACACTCTTTGGAGTTGCTACTCCCATGGCTTTCTTTTAGTCACATTTGATGCTAGTGTGCAGGAAAGAATCGGGGGAGGGAGGGGGTTGGGGGGGTGCGGAGTTTTAACAAAAGGAGGCATCATCCAGTGGAGGCTACCACTGGTGCAAAGAGCGTATAAATGTCACCATTTCCCCTAGCTCCAGTTTCTTTGCTGTTTGGAGATTTCCAAAATACCTGGAACAGATATTCCAAAGGTAAAGGTGAATGCAAGGAGGAATGGGCAAAAATCAATGCTCTCTTTCCTTTTGCCCAAGCTGTGATTTTCTCATTACACTCTAAATGCTCATCGAAGGTTAGAAACTCACCTATGCCTGAGTTGTGAAAATTCTTGCAAAATATTTTTGTATTGACTAGAGGATGTAGAGTTCGATGCACCGAGTACCAGACTTGAACCTGGGTCCTAAGCTATGGGAGAACTCATTCTCTTAGTCTTGGGTCTGATCTGTATGACCAGGTTGCCACAGCACAAATAGAGACCATGAACCAATTCTCAAGGCAGGATCATCCTCTGCTCACCCCCACCCCCAGCCTAAGAGGAAGGCTACTGACTCCCATTTTTTTCTGCTGCACATCAAAAATAGTATTTTCCAACATGTGTCAACTCAGTGGTGCTGCTCTTCATTTCATTTCATTTTCATTTTCATTTATTTATTTATTTTTACATTTATTATATCCACCCAACTCTTAATGGATTCTGGGTAACATACAAACCAACATTGTAAGTATTCTCCTATATTTCAATTACCTACTGTGCTCTGTGGTTGTCCTCCATGGACATGTCATCTTGGGCTGCCAGTTTCTCTTTCTAACCCAAGTAATAGGAATAATGGTAAATAATGTGTTAATTTTTTTCCATTTTTTTTTTAAATGCTGGTGAAATTGAATATTGCAGACTCCTTCCCTCCCCTCCTTTCCCTCTCTTCTCTTCACCTCCCCTCCCCTCACTCACTCATTTCCAGTGGTGGGTTGCCCCCGGTTCTGACCGGTTCTATAGAACCAGTAGTAAAACTGGCGGGAGGCCCCGCCCACTGACCCTGACATCATCAGAAGTGATCTGCGCATGCGCAGAAGAAAGGCGCACATGCGAGCGAAGCAAGTGCATGCCTGCGATCCCGTTGCGAACCGGTAGTAAAGGTAAGTAGAACCCACCCCTGCTCCTTTTCCTGTTTTTTTTCCTTCCTTCCTTCCTTCCTTCCTTCCTTCCTTCCTTCCTTCCTTCCTTCCTCCCTCCCTCCCTCCCTCCCTCCCTCCCTCCCTCCCTCCCAGTGAAATTGACAAAGAGTTCTCCTTCCAAATAAAACAGGCCAAATGGTGAAACACTTTCTATTGGTTGATCAGTAGATGTATCAGACCAGAAGGTGTCAATACAAAGGGAGGAAGGGTATCTCCAAACACCATGTCCTTGCTTGCTTTCTCAGCACAGGTGGGAAGGAAGAGAGAAGCAGAGGAAGCCACAAATGGTGCTTAGCAATAGCAATAGCACTTAGACTTATATACCACTTCATCGTGATTTTACAGCCCTCTCTAAGCGGTTTACAGAGTCAGCATATTGCCCCCAACAATCTGGGTCTTCATTTTACCCACCTCAGAAGGATGGAAGGCTGAGTCAACCTTGAGCCGGTGAGATTTGAACTGCTGAACTGCAGCTAGCAGTCAGCTGAAGTAGCCTGCAGTACTCGGCTCTTAGACTACATATCCAGCCATCATTGTGGCCAAAGCAGTGGAAAGGACTGACACTACTGGGAATGGATTTTTTCAGCTGGTGTATCTATGGGAAATTCAACAGGTGAGGGCTGCAGTGTGGAAAAAGCCTTATTCCCGATGCCTTCTATGAGGCAAAAATTAAACTGCTAAAAATATTGCGAGCAGAAAATGGCAAGAAATGCCAACTGTTTTGAAGACACCAAAAGTATTTTATCAGGAAAAAAAAAACCACAACAACTGAATTCCAAGGCCTGGAGACAAATGTGTCTCCAGCTACATCTATTTTCTCTCTCATAAAATGTTCCAGCTATTGTAGTTTAAATAAATATTGCTCTTCAGGTTTGGGCTTCTGCTTCTGCTTTTAGTGCTACTATTATTCACTTTGTTTCCCAGATTACATCACCCTAAAAGGGACTGACATGTTGGAAACACTAATATTCAAAAACACTGATACTTCTTTATGTTAATAGATGAGCCATCTGCTAATATAATATTTCACTAGCAGTGCCCTCCTGGTGGTTCCATAAGATAAATCCTAGAGTGCCTTTAATTAACCAGAGAAAGCAGAAACAAATCTCTGTGGGATGATAATATTTACAGCCTTAGAAAGAAAGAAAATAAAGAAGGGAAACCCATTTAGCGAAAATTAATTACATTTACACATGTTTTGGAATTAAATAAAAAGATGCCGGCAACTATCAAGAATACCGAGCTGCTTAAAAAGCCTTCAAAGCTACAACAGCTGCATCACGTCACTTCTGGGGATGGGAAAAGGGGCTGATGTGGAAAAACAGCAGGAAGAATCTTTTAAATGTATACTTATTTGTTTTAAATTTACAACTTTCAAAGATGCCCGTGAGATTACAGAGTGAAAACAATGTGGTACATAAATCCCTTGCCCCTGACCCCACCTCTTTTGGAGATCTGAACTGATTAACTTCTAAAAGTCTGTAGAGATTCCCAGTCATCCAGGTCATGGTTGTCCCAAAGGTGCTTTTTCAGGAGGCAACCGGACTTTCTTGTTTTTTTTCTTTTGAAGACATTTCACTTCTCATCCAAGAAGCTTCTTCAGCTCTGACAGGATATTGGGGAATGGAAGGATTTACAGTATATTCCTTGCAGACAGCTGGTCATTTGCATCCTTTTAGAGGGTCGCTGAAGCACTTGGAGGTTTATCTGTGTCCTCAGGGTCACCTGAGTAGTGCTCCTGGTTCCTTTAGTCTGCAATTTTTTTTTTCTGGAAATCCATTCCTACTCCCATACGATTCAAAGGGTGTTCATCCGAAATTGTATAGCTAAAAGTCTGTATAAATTCTCAGTCATCTAGGTCATGGTTAGCCTCTAGCACAATTATGGAGCAAGAGAAAGTATTCTGAAGCCAGTTCACAATTTGAGACTTGGAAGCTTGTGTGGACTGTGTTCCTACTGATGGGAACTCTTGTCTTTATTCCCCTTTTGGTTCTTGAGCTGTCCTCTTCCCATAGAGGCCCAAACATATAGATTTTACCACTAGAGAAGTCCCTAAATTAAAGAGAGATCAAGTCTCTTGTCAGCTTTCTCTCATACTGACTTTTGGTTTATTTAAACATTCCCAAATATCATACATGAAATATTTATTACTAGGACATGGAATTATCTCTCCTCTCCTCTTCCCTTCCTTTCCCTCTCCTCCCCTCTCCCCTCTCCTCTATATCTCTCAGCTGATCTGTAAATTCCTTTCTTTCTGATGCTATCAGAGTCAACATATGGGGCCATTTAAAAGGAACAGACAAAGGACATTCCTTCCACCATACCATGCAAGCTCATCCTTCCAGAGCTTCCGTGTGCTCTTCTCTGACTTTAGACCCAATCTTGTTATCTATTTCAGTGGTCACCAACTGGTGGTCCGTGGACCACTGGTGGTCCATGAGAAAATTTTGGTGGCCTGCAGAAAAATTATTTGCATTTTTTATATTGCACTAAATCAGGAGTCCTCAAACTACAGCCCCTGGGCCGGATACATGCAACGAACGTTTGTGTTGCTCCAGAGAGTCTCCCCCTTTTTGTGCAGGTCGGAGGGGGGGAGAAATTCCGACTTGGGGTCTGCTTCAGCCTCCTGGTGCTGGGCTTTGGGGGAAGGCTGGAAGGAAGTGCCACTGGTGGCAAAGAGCTGGAGGGCCTTGTTCCAGTGGGACTGTATCATGGCCTGGAACTGGCTGACCATCTCAGCCCGCTGAGCCTCCAGGCACCAGTACCTGGCCTTGCATTCCCTCAGGTCTTCCCTCTGCTTGGAAAGCCTATGCTTGTAGTCTTCAGTGAGGTGCTTCTGTTGAGCCTCCTTCTCGGTCAGATCCAATTTGAACTGAGCCAGCTGTTTTGCCAACTCTTTCTCACAGTGGCTGCTTAGCTCCAACAACTGCTTCCTGTTGGGGCCCTAAGAAGCCCGGGCGGGCAGGAGAGTAGTGGGTGGGAGGGGTAAGTAGAGGCTGGTGAGGTGCTCCTTGACATGAGTGACATCAAGTTGGCCATGCCCACCCAGTCACATGCCCACCTAGCCACGCCCACTCAGCCAGTCATTAGGCAGATCATATTAATGGTCTGCAGGATTTAAAATTATGAATTTAGTGGTGCCTGAGATCTGAAAGGTTGGTGACCCCTGATCTATTTAGCTTAGCCTCTTGTTTGGTCATTAACCAGTGGTGGGCCTCCAGTTGCCATAAATACACTGAAGCAGGAGGAAGGCTGATAGTTAAAACTGATATCAGCTCCGTTTGGAGAAAGAGACACATCTCATTTACAATTTGGGCCAAGTAGCTCAAGGCATGCATAGAATTCCCTCCTTAGAAAGAAATAAAAGCATTTTAAAGAAAAGACTTAAGGCCAAATGTCTTGCAGATCTTTTCTGTTCAGAGTTTATCATAATAAGGTTGAGGATTCAGAAAATCATCTGTAATCTGCAGAATCAACAGAAAAAAATTGTTAGGGTACAATTGGTAATATACTTTTTCACAGTAGATATTAACACAATGGGATGGAAATTATTGGAGATTTCGCCTAGTTGGAGATATTTATATAATAGTCTTAAGAATGAATTTTCCAGCCAACCTGCCACTAAAATAGAGAATATAATGACATGCAATATTTCTTATTACATTTGATCACAAATCCACATCCTATGAAGCATTAAAACCATTCTGTCTCTATGTAACAATGTTCCTTTCTAGCTATAGGGTGTTTATCCTTCCTTTCAGTTTGCAGTATGATAATTCTTGGTAT